GGACCAACAATTTGGACATTTCTTAATAGATTAATCAATATAAATGAGACAATAAGTAAAGACAATTTCAAGCAAATTTTACGTAGATTTTCCAAGGACATCAATAATTTCTCATTCAGAGCTCCCATGCTAGTTAAGAAACATAAGGACTATGTATATTTTTAACTTGATTTTATCCTCTATTTTTTATATAATCTTTTACTACTAATCTTTTATTACTAATATTGTAATGATATATGTGCATATAGACTTTTTATAATTTTTGGATGCAGGTCCACATCAGCCCTTGGCTGCCATATTATGTAATATAACCTGCTACATCAAATAAACGTATGTATGTATGTATGTATGTATGTATGTATGTATGTTTGTTTGTAAAAACAATGTATGTATGTATGCATGCACACTCAGTAGACCTCATGGCCTGAAGAAGACTCACCGTATGCAGTATGCAACATGCAACATGCAGCATGCAGTGTGCAGTATGCAGTCAAAATGTGGCAATCCACATCCCAAGTGACCACATCATGAGACAAACAATTTCATTTCTCTTAAAAATAATGTGTGTATCATGTTCATGTAGTTCTGTGCATATCCATTAATATTGTTTCCTAATGAAAATTTTAAATCTTAGTACTTTACAGAAATGAAAATGAAAGGACTGTACAAACTCTAAAGTTGGATTTTTCTATCTTTTTGTCATATGCTTACAGTGGTACAAATGTGAAAATGAAGCTTTGTCTGAAGAACTACAAGATAAGTTTGTAGAGAGCTCACTGGATCAAGAAACTGAAGCTTTCTTGCAAAACTGCCACGAGAAAGCTGATGCAGTGTTCTCACAGATTGGACATCTTCTGTTCAAAGGGTTCTTTGGTTTCTTTATGTCTGTAACTACAGCAAATGGGTAATTATTCTGCAAGATTGTATTATGAGCAATTTATGTGCACCACTTCAATTTTTCTCAAACATAGGTAAAAGATGACTGTTATTCACTTTTTTTTACCTGTGCTCATCACAAAAGAAATAATGTTTGTTTGTTTTTCTGCAATGTAGTTCAAAATTTACTACCTTTCTTATTCCATTCACTCATACAATGGGTTGGTCATTTCTGAAACAAGCACTAGGCAGGTCTGTTACTTATGAACATATCAATGGCCAATCTTTGGTTATACCAGAGTCTAATAGGCACAAGGCACAGTGGTAGAACATAGGAGCTAATGGAATCCAAAGATCTGGTATTTGATTCTTTGCACAGGATTCATTTCATTATAAGAAAAAAACATTTCTACAAAAGTTAAAACAACTATAACTCTAAATTTGCTCAGCTTAACAAGTAATTGGATTTATTTGTCATTGTTTTGTAGCATTTTGGATCGAGGATCAATGTTTGTATTTTCTGATGCCCAGTTTCAAAGACTCATGAATGTAGATGGATCATGGAAGACAGGGACTATGTTAGACTTAGGAGCTGGTGATGGCAAAGTAACCAGTGTTATAAAACATCACTTTGATGACATTTACGCTACAGAGCAGTCTCCATCTATGAGGTGGAGACTCCAAGGCAAAGGCTTCAAGTGAGTCAGCTTAAAGTTGAACTCTTAAGGGGACCAAGTGACTCATTACTACTGCTGCTTAGTCTGTTATCTGTAGCAGGAAGCAAAAAGGAGTATGTCTTCTTCTCCATAATTTTGTTGATGAGTGTATCTCTTAACATTAACATAAGTGCTATGGTCTTTTCTTCCTAGCCTTCATGTAGATAACATGGTTTTACTGTCTATCACTAAAAAGCAAACTGGTGACTCTAAGTGGAATTGCCAAACTCACTTAAAATTCTTGGGGTGACTATTGATAACAAACTGACTTACAGTGAACACATTTCCAACATGCTTAAGAAAGTTTATGCCAAGATTGGTGCTCCAAGATGACTCAAAATACTGATGCCTCACAGCGTGTCTTTATCTCTTTACAAGGCCTACCTGCTTCCTCACTTGGAATATTTCAGTCCACTACTTATTGGAATCAATAAACTTTAAGCTCTAAACTAGAGTCAGTCAACAAATATGCACTTAAAACTTTACTAAATCTAGGCAACAGTCTTGATTATGATACTATCTTATCCTTGAGTGATATGCATTCTCTTGAACATAGATGCTATTATAGTTCTCTCATTTTATTGCACAAGTGCAGGAACTCTAATGGTCCAGAATACATTAAAAACTTCTTCCAAATTTGCCAAACCAGATATAACTTAAGAAGTAGGGGTATTTAGTACAGCCTGGTTATAATAATAAATTTTTTCATAACTCTTTCACTTATAAAGTTAGTCATCTCTGGAATAAATTACCTGCTGATATAAAAATATAATTCATAAGCTCAAGACTTTTGATTTCAGCAAATTAGGACCCAGCTGTCAGTGCAACTCTTGTCTATAGTTTTTATCTTTTATATGTACATGTATTTCTCAAAATTTCTCTCCATACCATTACATTCAATTTGCATATTTGTAAACACTTTAATTTATCTTTTTATGGTCATATTTATATAGTTATTAGTACATAGTTTTTTTAGTCTTAAGTTTCATACACGAGCCTCTGGCTCGGGCAATTGGGTAACCATGCCTCAAGTAAAGACAATAAACTTGATTGAAACTGAGGAGTTAAAAAACACTGAGATATAATTTTAATGTGTTGGGATAATCTCTCATTCAATGTCAGGTTACTTGATGAAAGTGAATGGATGATGGTTGACTTCAAGTTTGATGTGATTACATGCCTTAACCTGCTGGATAGGTGTGATAAACCTCTCACACTACTCAGTGACATTAAGAAAACTTTACATCCACAAACTGGCCGACTGATTGTTGCTGTTGTTCTTCCATTTAGACCCCTTGTGGAATCAGGTATGCTCGTTTTTTTGTGTTTTGTTTTTGTAATTTGTGATACAGAAGCTAATTTAAAAAGAAATGGAGGGAGACTGAATGGAAGTTACACATGGCAGTTTCTAGGATAATTCCAAAGGTTTGGAACAGGTAATTCAAATGCTCCATCATTAAATGATGCCTAGGGCATCTATGACTAGGTGGCAACAGCTTGGGCCATCTCTGATGAAAATTAATGCAGGTGGTAACCTATGTTAGACCACCATCCCATTCTGAGAGAGTACCTAACCTCTATGCTACATTCTGTGCTATGCCATGGAAAGTTTGATGAGTTTCTGCAACTGAACAACTTGTATACGTTGTAGTTCAGTTTTATACTTGGTTCAAATTTTATTTTCCTTTGTTCTCTGTCATGTTAATGTATGATAATGAGTTTGAAACAAAGGAAAATAAACTTTGAACCAAGGATAAAATTGAACTACAACATATACATGGTGTAAGCTATCTCTGTCTTTAAAAGGAAAGAAAATACTGGAAAATACACCGAATCAAAATACGGCATCTAATTTTAACTGCCATTGTTCTGGACTTACTAGCCTCTCATACGGGATAATCCTTTAATGTTTCCACGCAAAGACAAGGCTAGTAAGTCCAGAACAATGGTAATTCAAATTGGATGCCATATTTCAATCCGGTGTATAAATGTTTTTTTTTTTATTTTTTATGTATATAGAGTAATTGCAGTCTGCATTATTCTTCAGGCACAAAGATGATTGAGCCAAGTGAAGTTCTAACAGTTCATGGAAATTCATGGGAAGAACAAGTACAAAGTCTTGTTGAAGATGTGTTTGAGCCAACTGGATTTACTGTGGAACTGTTTACAAGAGTTCCATATTTATGTGAAGGTGATTTGTATAGGGATTTTTATGTTCTTGATGATGCTCTGTTTGTTCTCAAAGCATTTGAATGAAGCAGCACAAACATGCCCTTCAAATTGGGAGAAGGGAATAATATTTCCACATAAAATAGCTTTAATGGCCTAGACAGTTTATATGTACAGCTAGAAGAGCATTTACTTCAAACATGTACATTGTTCTCTGTATAAAGTACATTTTAGCACTTTTATTTACAAAATTACATTTCTTGCCAAATGGTTCTAACAGTAACATTTATGGTTTTAAATTATATTAAATTTGAACAACAAATAGCAACTATTTCAATCAAGGAAATACAATTTGCAGATAGCAGTGTTCTAGCAACAGGCTCTTAGAACATGTTATTTCAATTCATAAGTAACTGACCTGAAAGCGAGCATTATAGAGCAGCAAGCCACCAAGGGCCACCCATTTCTTTTTGCTGCAGCATCTATGAGAGTTTGCTCACTGGGTATAAATCTCACTTGTTCAAAGGATTTTATCCTATTACAACATTTTTATTTTTAGAAACTAATACATGCATTTGAATATTTTAGTGATATGGTTGTTTGTGAATAAAATGCTCCAAGGGTGGATCTTTCTAATCCAGTTTTATTCAATGCACACATACCTACTACAGTTAAACATTCTTTATAGATTATACTAAGTCAGATAGCTAAACGTAGTTATGAATACATTTGAAAGGAGAATAAAATGATTGGATACATGTAGTGTCTTACTGTATTTTCAAAACAAGAGCCTGAGCTTTATTTAGTTTGATGTTATCAAAAAGAATATGTGCTCCCCTTATCTTCATTTCACTGTCAACTTCAACAATTCCTGAACCACTCATGTTATTGAGTGACCCTGTCCAACTCTCCTGCCCAAAGTTAACTATAATGAGAAACTTGCAGTATTTTGCTGACCTGGTATAAGCAAGAATTGAGGTGTCTACATGAACAATTTTGAATCCAAGGCATTGTGATAACGACCTTAACCTCAGCAGTTCCCGATACAGCTGTAAAGCTGAAGTTGCATCTGCCATTTGCTCCTCTACATTCACAGTTTTGAAATTTTCTGCAACAGGTAACCATGGTTTCATTCCAGTGGTAAAACCTGCATTTTCTTTACTGCACCACTGCATAGGTGATCGTTGAGGATCACGGAAGTCTTTGCTTGTTTTAAGAGGCACTTCAGCATCTGTCATTCCAATTTCTTCCCCATAATAAGTAACAGCAGTTCCAGGAAGTGTAAGAAGGAGGACGTTCAGTGAGCGGGAGTACTCATGGCCAACTTTAGTACCAATTCTGGATACATCATGGTTTCCCAATACCCAGTTGGGCCACTTCCCCTTAGGAAGGGCACCAAGGTAATCAGAGATCACTTTATACACATCTTGTGCAGTTGAGGATTCATTTAGTCCCAAAAACCCAAAGTTGAAAGGAAAATCAAACTCACTGTATCTTCCACCATAATACTTCATAACATCTGGAAGATCTGCCATTATCTCCCCTATGAGTATTCTGTAGGGCAACTTGTACTGATCAAGAAGTGATCTCCATTCCTGAACAATTTTGTGATTATCCTCCAAGTTTTTCGTGTAAATGTGTTCCATGTGATCATAGTTGGGCCGTAAGGGGTCATACTCAGGCTTGGTAGGTTCATCCAGAAATCTTGAATCCTCAACAAGATGAGGAACTGCATCAACTCTAAATCCATCGACTCCTTTGTTAAGCCAGAACATCAACACTTCCTTTAAAGCTTGGCGCACCTCAGTGTTTCTGAGGTTCAGATCGGGTTGCTCAGGACAAAACTGGTGCAAATAATACTGTCCTGTTGTAGCATCATAGCTCCATGCACTTCCCCCAAATACACTGACCCAGTTATTTGGTACCCCACCCCCTGGGGAGGGGTCACTCCAGACGTACCAGTCTCTTTTGGGACTCTGTCTACTACAGCGACTCTCAAGAAACCACGGGTGTTCATCTGAAGTATGGTTAGGTACAAAATCCAGTACAAGTTTCATGTCCCTTATATGAATCGCTTTTAAGAGCTCATCAAAGTCATTCATATCCCCAAAGAGGGGATCGATGTCTGTGAAGTCTGAGATGTCATAGCCATTGTCCACCATGGGAGATTTGAATATTGGGCTTAGGTATAAGATTTTGATCCCCAGGTATTCAAAATAATCAAGCCTGTTCATTATCCCTCGTAAGTCGCCATTTCCATCGCCACTCGAGTCTTGAAAAGATCGAGGATATATATGATAAATTACGTTCTCTTTCCACCATTTTCTCCACTCATCCTGTTCTTTCCTCGTTTTATATCCCTTAAATAGAGCAAATATCACTGTGTTAAAGATAACTGCCGCTAAAAACGCCACAATCAAAGGCCAGACGTCACCTAACCCTTCGACAACCATTTTCAAGAGCTGATTTCTCCCAGGCGATACCAGTGACGGAGGAGGGAACTGGGACCAAAATGCAGAGGTGCAAATAAGTGGTTCCTTTGCCGACGAATAAACAAGCAGCAACACAAGGCGGTCAAATACGACATTAACACCGGAGAGTCTCTATGACTTTATCAAAGTCAAGATTTGAGAGAAGAAGTAAAATTGACTGTGTATCTCTTGATTTCAACGCAATACGATGTCAACTAAGGCACATCGAAGGGCAAGCTACGAGGAGAGAGTAGATCAAGATGGCCGATTGACAGGCAAACACATACGAACCTTGTTACACCTACAAGATTTACACACCGAAAACGATCTTTTGAAAGCTAGAATTGCTGAACTGGAACTAGAGGAGGCAAAAGCTGCCAGATGTGATCTTCTGGAGCGTGAAGTGGAGAAATTACAGGTAAGACTTTTTTGTGAAGTTTATCTCCGACTGCTGCTTGAGCATAATTTCAATAACACTGCAACAGACAAGTAATCTATAGAAATAAACAATCGAGACCATATTTATTTGAAAATAACACTAACTTCTCAACATATTCTTTGTTTCTTCTTCTGAATTTTTTTTTCTTTTTCAAATTTACTAGAAATTTTAAGTATGAAACGTCACCATTTTTAATCACTATTAACTATGCTTGTTCAGATAAGTTGTCTGTATAATTATTTGCGTAATTTTTTTTTTCTGAAATTCAACGAACCAAGGCTGGCGCAAAGTCCAACTGTGGTAACAATGATAAAGGAGACATCAAGGAGCTCAGAACACCTCAACACTGCCAAGAAATTAAAAAATCAACAAAGTACTTCACAAAGTGATAATGAAACATCCACACTGCACTCTGTTTCATACCCACTCATGTTTTACTCACATAACTTAACACATCACAAAGCTGTACTAAATTCTTGGATATGATATGGCATTTAGTCTACTTACTGGTTAAGTCTGATAAGTACTTGCCTACACATTACATTTGTATTTCATTCTTCATCAATGTGTTGATTTCAAGTCTTGAAGTTGTCAACCTGCAGTTTATTTCATAACCTCTTCTGCATATCATAGAATTTTTGACACTAGATTGAATGAACTAAATTTAATTCTGAAGAGAAGAATGTCAAGGGTGAGTGACTGTGGTACAAGGGTCCACTGAACAAGAAACCACAATAACACAAATTTTGTATTGTTTGGCCATACACCAGAGCTTTCTTCACCCAAGGAATGTACACCATAGGCTAAGGAATCAGAGGAATACTGCATGAAAAATTGAGCAACATTGCACATTTTAATGCCCTTTTCAGTAATACTTGAAGGAGCTTTGTCAATATCCAGCCATCTTCACCTCACAAACATATTCACTAATAAATATTGCAACTGATGAAGTACTACATGTATGTTGTACAACTAAATCCTTTGTCCCCCAAAATCTGGGCCATTACTTCCATCAGTGAAAAATTTGGTCATAATTTGAAAATATTCATCATGGCAGCTGATTCTCACTTTATTTCTCATTAGCATTTTTCATTTGCCATAGGTGATCGAGTAATCATTTTTGTTTTTGTTTTTAAGAGATTTGTGACTTATTTTATGAATTACAGCAGTAAAGGCCATGTTTACAATGAACAGTTTACCAATGTACACAAACTGTTGAACTGTCAAGAAGACTTAATTAAAATTTTAATACTAGAGAGTTGTAGACAGTCGGGCATAAATTATGTTAAGTTCAAAACGACTTTTACCCTTAATTAGGAGATTGGTTCCCAATGAATAAGAAAGAAAGCTGAAATTCAGGCAAAAAAAGATATCTTTATCATTGCAACATATTTCTTTCTCAAAGTAAGATGCCTGTCATCCATCACTCGCATTCATAACACAATTACATTTCAAAGGAATCTTGTTAATTCTCCTAAACTTTATAGGGATTAAGAATTATATGAAAATTCCTAAATGAGTTTGGTCTCTGTAAGGTACATTTAGACAGGGCAACTATATGTATTTCAATTTTTTTTGTCATTACTTTGTCAAAATAATGTTCTCCAGGGTGAATTATCAAAGTGTGAAGAGCTTCATCAGATTGCAAAGGAGGCAAAGGATAAGTTCCAGCAAATGCAAAGAGACTGTTTGATGAAGATTGATGGAACCTGTGCAGCTTTGACAGAAAAACACAAAGTAGAGGTGGGTGGTTAAAATGATTCAACAATATAGAACATGATTAAATATTTTACTACAAAGGACAAAGATAAAATTAATGTGTACGAGATTATTTAACAGTGAACTGCATACAGTGGCTGTGGCAATTGCTTGCTGTGGAGACCTGAAAACTTTGCACAACTGAACTCCATCCTTTAAGGACCTCTATTTATAAATTTTTATTGAGTTGTGATTAGACTGAAAACATTTATTGAGTTGATAGAGTGGGTTGCCAACTTTACCTGCTTGTCATCTCCAAAATACAGTGTAGGTGTAACAAAACTGAGTTGCTCAGACTGAATAAGATACTTTTGTAAAAATGTTGCACTGTAAACTATAAGCACAAAGATCATTTACAATAGGTTACTTAACAGGATCATTTTGTTATTTACCAACTGGAAGTCTGTTTGGGGAAAAAAAATTGTGTCAGAGATCTTGAGTGCAGCAGTCAAGGACCATACTCAAGATCAAAGGCACAATGTTTTTACCACACAAACCAACCTAGGCTAAGAGGCTTCCAAAATATAATGAAAAATACTGGCATTTTTACTTCAGATCATGAGAATTGTGTCAGAAAAACTTGAAGCTGAGAATAGCTGGGCAGTTGAGAAGCAACAGGTATGTTAGCTAACCAAGTAATTCTTTTGGAAAGATAATTGTCTTGTTCAAAGCTAACTTTGCTTTGTCAAAGACCTGTTGAATGCCTCCTCTTGCGGTAACTGTTTGGCTTCATTAGTCAATCTTAAGATAGGGAGCATAGAAGGTGAGTTACTCTGTAAATATTAGCATTGATTAGTGGAAGAAAGCAGAAACCCCATTGGGAGGATGTAATGAGAAATTACAACTTTCTTCAAGATGTCCAAGGTTTAAAGATATGAAACCATAGGGGAACACATTTAGCCAGATGGGCTATCTCATGCAAGTAATCGATTAAAAATGTGTTTTCTTATTTTAAAAGGTGACTGAGAAAATTGAAGGTCTTCAGAAAGCAAATAAACTTCTTAAAGTAGAACTTGAGAGTTTGAAAAGAACAGGATGTGATACTGTGGTAAGTTGCAATAATGGTTGTTTTTCAGTTATGAACATTTCCACACAAAGTCAAACTTTGGTTTTAATAAAGTATTTATTTATGGTGTAGTGAATTTTATTTTTGTAGAAACTGAATTCAGCTCTTCAAAAATCAAAGGCAGCCATTGAGTTATTGAAACAAAACTGTGAACAGTTGAAACAAGAAAAAGGAATCCTGGAGAAGACTGTACAGGATTTTAGCATGGAAAATGAAACTCTTACATCAGAGGTGGACAGTTTGAAATCTAGGATAGCTGTTCTGGAAATGCAGACAAAACTGTCTCGTGAAGCTAAAGCTGAGCAGCAGGGTAAGGCGATGGAAACTAACAAGCTGAAAGAACAGGATGACGCTGAAATAGCTAAGTTAAAAGAACTTATTCAGGAACTAGAAAGTAAAAATGAAACCCTTTCAGAAGCGAACGAAAAACTAGAAAACAACAACAAACTTTTGGAGTTCAATCTTCAAGACTCTCCTCAGAGCTTGAAACACATGTACAAAGAAAGAGACCAGCTTAAAAACAGAATAACGGGACTTCTGAATGAAATAGCAGCTATAAAGTCACAAACACCGGAGAAGCATGCATTTGTTGACTTTGTCCATCTCAAACGGGATTACAATGCACTGAAAGACGAACATGAAAAGCTCCTCAAGAAAAGAGTCTCCAAAATGAATGTGTTACCAACTCTAAAGGGAGATACCACAGTTAGTACACGGGCAACAAGCGGTGGGACTGTGAGAAGTGGAGCACAAGTGGGAGGGGTGGGTGCTTTCTGGTAGCAGAAGACTCTCTGACACCACCCTCCCTCCCCCATTTCTTGTGTCAAATGTTTTCCAAAGTAGATGATGTACCGTGGTATTTGGTGAATTATTTGATCTCAGGTGTGGTGAATGTCGCTGCCTGAAGTCAACTATCAAAGCTAAGCTAGACCTAGAGTTTTAACAAAAATTTTATTTGGAGTTTTCTTTTGTAAGAATTAAGTGCAACTTTTAGTTATCCATACCTGTTTTAAGATAGAGGCGTTTTATATCTTAACGCTGGGAACTTTATATATTGTATATACTGAGAATGTTTATGCTTTACCACTGTACGTTAAACAATTTGAACCTGCTGTATAAATAGAGGAGACTGAAATGATTAGGCTTGAGTAACTACCTGGTCAATCGACTGTTTTCCCCACAATTGGCCCCAAAAATTCCGCACAACTTAAAATTATTTCCCTTCTCTGTCAATAGTAGAAAGCTTTCACTTTAAAAAAACAAACAATCAGCAAACTATTCATGACCTAAAACTTTCTCAAATGTTATCGATTTCCTTATTTATTAAATTCAGTAGTTATTATTGATAACAAGGTGTGTGTTTTGTAGAGCTATTTATAGCACACTCGGTAAAGTATTTAACGCGGAAAAGTATTTAACTAAAGACCCAAATGGTACTTTGTATGATTTCTGCGCCGGGTATTTTAGGTTTCAGGAGCGCCATGATGTATGAGGAGAGTACAGTAGCAGGACTAAAAAGGCGAATGGAGTTGTAAATAGCTGATATTTCCATTAACAATGGAGAAGTTGCTTTTCCCATATGATCCTAGATTTCTACAACTGTAAATGAGACAAAAGAGAATGGAACTTAGTAGTAAAAATGTACAAAAGGCGAATACGCAACAAAATGTTTACACGCACGTTGCTTTTTTTATTAGTTAAGATATGTCATCAGGGTTACGATCACATTTGAAAGAAAGTCCATTTTGTCGGCCAACCTGCTGGCTGACGCGCTAACAGTATTAACAGTACCAGAATACTGTTAACTTCACCGTTTTGAAATAACACTGAATCAGATCCATCAAATACTGAAAGAAAATGTAATAAAAAAGATATCAATGCCTCTGGTTTAACGTTCTTTATTTAGGTACAAGTGACTATCAATACTTTGTTAATAAAATCCGTGCCTAAAAAAAGCTGTGATTACATCACACAACCTGACAGAAGGTTAAACAACGCTGGCAGAGAACCGGACAGTTAAGATTTCTAATTTAGCCACGGGCCGTTACCACCATCACTACAACGTTTCATGCACTGGTGCACGACTGTCAGACGGTTAGGTGCTTGGAAAGCACGTTATGTTTGTGGATACTAGACTGTTTTTGGACGGTTTTACTCAAATCTTGACAATCTGCTGGTCAAATAACACCAATAAGATGGTGTTATGAAGGTTCAGGAAGTCTGCTGGTGGCAGGCGATTTAGCTTCGTTTGGTCTCTACAGTCATCACCTGTTTTGATGACTGCGCTTTGCTGGAGATATTTTTCGCTGACGGTCCTCTGTAAATGTTTTTGCCCCGTTTCTGGGTTTTTGTTTCAATAATTCTAATTGTCACCTGTTGTTCACGCATCGATGGTTTTTGGTTCTTCTCTTGTCCCCATGGCAACGGTTTTGGACAGGCTGGTGATGTTTGCTCGGCTTTCTGTCGTTGCGAACCCTCAAACACGTGCGAGGCGGGAATACAGAAATGCGCGCCACCTGGAAGGTACAGAGACCGCTGTCATGCTACGAGACCGTGTGCGACTGGGCTCAGTTGTCATCCGGGAGTTCAGAAATGCTTCCACGTGCCTCGTCGTCATGGTGAGCCGTGTGTAGCGGGTTATGCATGTGGCAGCGGTCTCTCTTGTGAGCCTGGAGTTCAGGTTAGTTAAACGGTACGCCAAAGTAAAAATATTGGCTGCTTCGGTTTTTTCAATTCAGATGATTCTAATTTATGAGATGGAAAATACTTTTTTAGGCATGTTATTACCGCCCTCGCCAATACAACGAACCCTGTTCTGCGGGATATTCCTGTGCTCCAGGACTCAGCTGCCAACCAGGTTATCAGAGATGCTTGCATCATCCGAGGCTAGAAAATGAGAGGTGTTCGGTGGGATACGCATGCGCTGATGGTTTGGTCTGTAGACTGTGTGACAAGCCATATGCCACTTGTCAGCTTTCGCGCGTACCTGCTTTAACAGAGCAGGTATTGGGCATTCATATATAAAGTGCTGAACTTACATGATTTGTATAACAATCATATGTTTGAATATGTTATATGCATGGTTTGGTAATGAGCTTTAACGCAGCTGGTCGCTGAGATTTTGTATTGTAAGGGGCAATGGTATAGATAAGGCCAAGGAAAATTTTACATAGGTCCAAAATAGTTACTCACTAATGGTACTTGTTGCCTAGGACTATGGCAGACCCTTTAACAAAGTGGCATTCCTTGTTACCCATAATTCCTTCTCGCATTCTCCAAATTTTGCTGTATGGGCCCGGAATCAACGTTTTAGTGTCAGTCAGCAGTTAAAGGATGGTGTGCGCGGTCTCATGTTAGATATATATCCAGGTAAGATCACCTAGCACCTTGTTTTATTTTGCGTCTTTGACGTTTTCTTTGTTATATTCATAATAAAGAGAATGATGAAGCAGCTAAGACAGACACAGGTAACTATCCCGTAAAATCTAAGCTGTTCTTCTTCATTACACTCCTTTCTAGGATGGGCTGCAGCGGAGGTTCGTCTTTGCCATTCGTCTTGTTTCTGGAGCGGATCAATAGACTTGTTAAGCACGTTGATTGAAATCAGAAAATTCCTGGAGAGTAATATCCGAGAAGTTATCACAATAATTTTTGAGGATTACTTAAAAAATCCCACAATCTTGAAAACAGTGTTCGATCAAGCAGGAATTTCTCCTTATGTGCTACTGAAAGACAACTGGGGTGATGGGTTCACCGATTGGCCCACTCTAAATGCCATGCGCAGATTAGGTAGACTGGTGGTGTTTAACAATAACGGCCTTCACGGATTCCCATATACTGAGGTCAACATGTGGAGTTATGTTAGAGAGAATCGTTATGGAAGTCCAGGTAGAAACGAGAGGGTATGTGCTCGATCGAGAGAAAGATTTATTAAATTGAATATTCATTTTCCTTGTACTAGGGCAAAATCCAACCTCGTTCCCAGGACCTTTTACCCCCAACTAAGAGAAAAGGCCATTGGAGTGAGGTTGAGCAAACTCTGTATACGAGTCAAGTGGCCCACCTGCCGGAGCTTATCCCGATTTCAATAGCATGAAGCGACTAGGATTATTACTACCCCCCCCCCTTGAATGGGATGTTAATTCGTTATAAGATGATCTCCCGGCATTTCATCAAGTTTCCCGAAAAAATATGCAGGTACCCATTGATACTCCTGGATAGAGAGAGGTACTGTGTAACCTCTCGACCCGGAGTCTAACGCAGTAACCATCAGCTCACCTTGTCTCCCACCCCCGCTATCGGAAACAAAAACTCCTTTTCAAATGTAGATTTATTATAGAGAGCGGACCCCTAGATTCTACTCGACATCTCTTGACTGTTGGAAGGTTTGCAAATTTAGTCCCTTTTTCTGGTACTCTCCGTCACCTTCGACTTACCCGTTGTAGCAACCATGTCTTTGTAAGCTGTGCACAATAAATGAAAATATTTTCTATATCAACGTGCCATACATTTTCTTCCAGAAAATTGTGTTTCGGCCGAATTTTCTCAGATCTAAATCTCTCTTTTTCAAAAACTGCGTTATTCACTGACCTCTTTTTCCTCTTGAAAGGAATGTGTAGATCGCGGAGAGTCTCGGTGGAATGCTTTCTGGAATGACCGCTGGAGCCTGGTGTTGGTAAATTGGTTTAATACCCTGGCCAATCCTCTTGAGCCATGTCTTAATTCTTTCCAGGAGATAAGAAAGAAATTAAACACTTGCCATGACAAATTTGGTTATTGGGCAAATTTTATAGCGGTCAATTATTATACTGCAGGTTCAGGAGGCGGAGCTTTTCAAGCTGTCAAATGGCTGAATAATAAGTTCAGGGGTAAGTTAATGTTTGGGGTCAGTGTTGCTTGGGCATTGTGCCATTTATTATGCCGACATAAAAAGTATTGGAGGTTTAGACTTTTTTTTCAAGTTTTTGAGACTCGCCCTCAACATCTGCCGGCGGATCTGGAGCTAAGTACTTTCTCATACCTCTCGGACGAGAGGTATTAGCTAGCGTAAGCGAAATCATTTTAGTTAAGGCACGCTTGTGGCTACGACAGATTTCCGAGACCCTCCTTTCTCCTTTGCCAGATCTAGCAGGGTGTGAACTAATAATAATAATAATAATAATAATAATAATAATAATAAAAATACTTGGGAGTTATATTAGAGTAAATTACTTTAAGATGTTGTCTCGGCGAAGTCTAACAAGCCTCTCTATCGAGCACCGATAAAAAATGATAAAAGCCTAAACAAATATTTCGTTATTTTCTTAATACTCCCGTTAGACATCTGTTTTTTTCCTAGATCGATAATCTCTAGCTCAGATGATTTGACCTTCCCTTGCAATCATTTTACTAAAGCGTGGTTTGAATTTGGCCAAGAGCCATGTAAGCCCGCTCTGGACTTAAAAAAATTGATGAATACCCATTTTTGGCCGAACTAGAAGAATTTACTCCTGGTTGAAATCATTCATATTTGTGTATATTTGTATTTAGGGGAAACTTCAGTATCGAAGATAAGGAAAGCTTCCGTTATTCCATTCCCTGACGTAGTCACTCAATGGGATGGAGCCAATCAACAGCGTCAGACGAAACCCATTCCAAAGCAAGACATGATTGACGGACCAGGGTATGGTAAAGGGTTTCACACGCTCTCAGATGTCCTGTCTCACATACTGAAACACAGTCTCTTTAAATGGGTTGAAAGAAATAGCACAACTAAAACCATCAGCTCTGCTTCAACAAGAAATAGCACTGCTTCAAACGCTCATATGGCTTCACGTGGGCGGATTTCACCAAATGAAAGAATTAGCCAAGGTAGTCAGCTGAGGAAATCATCGACGATATTTCAAGATTTTGGAGGAAATGATACCTTTTCAAAAAGAAACGATCCTTTAAGAAACTACAGAATCCAAATCAACCACGATTTGAGAGAGACAACACAATGGAGGGTTTCCCGATCAAAAGTTAACCGCCATAGAACTTGGGCCAATTATTCGCCTTGCCTTTCTTCATTTAGACATGACCAGCGTAAAATACTAAAATTAGGATTTAAGGCAACAGGCAAAGGCAGAAGGCCCGAAAGAGGATCGCTATGCAAATTCAGATCCAGTGTGCAGCCTGTTAGCCGAATGTTACCGAAGGCCCACGGGCACAATACGATGATCCCGAAACTTAGCCCTACCCTTAAGATACGTAATCTTCGTAAACAGGTGGCTCGGTTGAGAGCAAAGCTTAACGGGTTAATTCACCTGGTGCACCATCGAAAAAGGAAAAAGGCCCTGCGCTCTGAGCCCCTTCCAACTTTCAGCCGTAAAATTTTAAGACCATAGTAGGGCTTTTTCTTAAAGCTCGAGTATCTTTGTAAAAATTCTTGATTTACTCACTTGCTTCATTTGTTCTGTCCAAGTTTAAGTTATTGTTCCCGACTTGAAATGATGATCTACGCAAGAGAACAACGTTCATGACAAAACAGACATTTGACAACCCGCGTACGTTACATGGCGTGACTAACGATAGTTGTCAACAAGCACCAGACTGAAATCCCCACACGAGTACTGAAAGAATTTTGAAAAAGCTTCCTCAGAAAAATGGCGCTTTATTATCATTTCAATATTTTTTGTTTCAATTTTTTTCTTCACGGATAAGTGATCACTTTCACCAAAAGGGTGCAGGCCGCATGGTTGATGGCGTGACCGCGTGACTCATATGACTGGTACCGGTAGTGTTACCTGCTCCCGCTATTTTTAGCCTCTACTTCAAATGATCTTAGAGGAAAAATATGTTTTGTAACAGGAAAAGATCTATTTTGTAACACCGTTACCCTTTTTTAAGGAGAAGAAGGCATTTTTCAGGGAAATTCTAAATGCCGCCTTATTCGCCTTATTGCGACTTTTAAGCGACCACGCCTAACGATTGAGGGGGCTTGCGGTTTATATTGGGCCATTCCATTTAATATCCGTACCCCCCCCATTGAAGGCCTGGGATTTCCCAGGGGGAGGGGGTCAATGCTATATTTTTTCTTAGGGGGTTGAGCCATATTTCTGAGAGGGGTCGCCATAAAGTACCCTTGACAGAAATTCTCACGAGTAGTTTCTGAAAGGGGTTCAATTGGTTTGCTTGATAGCTACATAAAATTCTGAAACCATTTCAGGCAATTCTGAAGGGGGTTAAAAAATTTCTTTTCTGGAGGGGTGTTACAGGAAAGCCTTCAATAGGGGGGGGTGCGGATTTTAAATGGAACGGCCTATTTACGTCCCTCAAGCAAAAATGGCGGACAGGTGTTAAATCATTGGCGCAGAAAAATGTGAAATCATTTCCAAACAAAGATCCTCAGATTCCCTAAGAATAACACTTATCTCATATAAAGAACGCTTGCTGCTTTACATTTTGCAAAGAAGTTTCCGACTCATAAGTGAACAAGCGAAGAAGTCCTATTCTAGAGAAATGGCTGCACTACAACTTCCACCTGAAGAGCTTGTGGGTTATTTGGCAGAGGAAGGGAAGGATTACTGTGTAACGCATGGCATCGTTATGGGAGCTAAGGATTCTCGTCACGCGGTCCATCATGCGCCCTTCGCCCTTCTTCCATCACCGTTTCCTAAGCGACTGTTCGCAGAAGCGAAAGAGGTGCAGAAAGATTACAACTTGCTGGTTCACAGAGTCAGTCAAGATCATGAATTCCTCAAGGGAGCTCTTCAAAGGTTAGGTGCTACTTTAAGAAAATACAGACGGCTGAACGAACCTTTTGAAAGGGTATGAAAGCACCAACGCCTCTTTAGTTATTAAGGTGTAGGTTGAAAACTATGAAACCGTTTTCCTCTTATATTCTGAAACAATGGTAATTGTAAATTAATCTGGTTTGGTAAACTATGGTTTCTGAACCAAGAAATGTACTGAATCACAACTTATGCATCATTTTGAGAAAACTCTGTTAGGCCTACAAAAGGTTTCATATTAAAAATTTCTCATAATGTGGCATACCTGGAATTAGTAGCATTGCTATAACAAAATGTATCATTTTTTTGTCTCAAGCACCATAGAGGTTGATGCATTCACAGCCAAAATATATGAAATATATGAAAAAACAAGAAATGAGGGACTTGCACAGGTAAAGTGTAAATTGCCATTTGCACTAAGGACATTTCCTTGCAATACATTCACTCACTTAATTCAATTTAAAATTGATTATGTTGGTAGACAAAGACTTTTTTCACAGTTTTATGCAAGGGGAATAATAGTCATGTGTTAGTTGATAAATATTTCTGGCAAAGCTTTTTGGTTCTGGGGTTTAAATGGAAAAAGGTATTGTTTCATTTTGGGCATGAATGCTAGAATGGTCACAAAGGCTTAATGATTTATAGTTTTGAATATAAGAATCATTAATAAAATGTTTCCTTTTGTATTTGTTGGCTATCAGGTTTGCTGAAAAATTGATATCAAATTTTAAGTCTGAGAAAAAATTTGACTGGCCTATGGGAACAAATTTTAAAGTGAGGGGTGATAAATGGGCACTGAATGTGTTATATTGTAATTGGTTAAAGAATGGGGGTGCAGGTGGTCCAGGGCTGGGGGGGGATGTACACACAGAAAATTCTGAAAAGTTTAGAATTACCTGATGCAAATTGGCACAATTTTGAGAAGTTTGTTGAGGGGGAGGATTTGATTCTCATCCTTGTGACAACTGAATTCCTAAAGCTTTATCTTCTATGGTTACTTTGCAGCCAATCTCATTGGGAATATTTCGATCTGACTACATGCTGGATGGTACCAATGGATTGTCAGAAAATCTTACCCTTAAGCAAGTTGAAATCAACACAATTGCCTCTTCATTTGGTGGACTAAGTGCACAGATGCCAGGGCTTCACAAGTAAGATTACTTAAACTATGTTTTTGTTAGTAAAGGGAAGATGATTATTATTTCAACTGATTTTAAATTTTTTACTGAAAGAGCTTCAATCTGCAGTTATGGCCCTTCATATTCAGGTTTACATTCCAACATTTGATCTCACCAGTTGTATGTAATTTGGTTTTATTAAGTGAGTTCATAGTGTGAATAGGTCACAGTAGAAGATTCTAAAGTAGATTTTTCAATTGTTAGCCCTTCATCAGGGCAAATCAAAGGGCTGAGGCTTGAAACCTCAGCTTAACAGTGGCCACATTATCAATTCACTCAACAAAACCAAATATCTAACACAGTGGAACCCCTCTAAACCAGACCCTCGTTAAACTGGAATCCTCTCTTTACTGGACCTTTTTTTCGGCCCCAAAATCTCTGTCATACATTATCTTTATTGTTAACCTCAGTAAACCAGAACCCCTCACTTCTGGAAACCAGACACTTTTTTCAGTCCATAATCATGTATTGACAAAGAAATTGACCTTGTTAAACCAGACGTGAAAGCTTTAAGCTTGCTGCCAAAATCAAATCACACGTTTTTAAACATGATTGAAATTAAAATAATAATCATGCAGTTGTGAAATCACAATCAGAAGTAAGAAATGTCCATTGGCTAATTACTCATTGTTCAACTGGTACTGAAGCAAAAAATCTAAAGTCGACAATTGTGCTGCTGCTGTTGGGTTGAATGAATGACAACAGTAGGGGTCAGGTTAATAGACTAAAGGCTGATAGTTTCGAAAGAAACTGTTTGGGGCTGCGTCTGTGGGGGTAACAAAATAATTTGGATATATCAACAAAGTTGAAATGGTAAATTGGCCACCGTAACGATTACAAAAGCTGACGTTTCGAGCGTTAGCCCTTCATCGGAGCAAAGGGCTAGCGCTCGAAACGTCAGCTTTTGTAATTGTTATGGTGGCCAATTTACCATTTCAACTTTGTTGATATATCCAGGTTAATAGACTGTCATGGTATGGGTGAAATTACTCACGAAAACAAACTTAGTGGCAGGCATAACTATGTCTTAGAGACTAGTGAAATGCCAAAGAATCGAGTTATTGTTAGAGAAGAGAATTGAGTTGATCAAATGCACAGAATGTTATTAAGTTAATAAATTTTGCAGTTCACAAAGATGAGAACTATCTATAACTGGTTCTAGAGCTGGAAAATTTAACCAAAAGAAAAATAGTTGAACAAGGTTGTAATCAGATGCAGGTAACACTGGATTCCTTTTTCCAAAAGCATTTAAAAGCAGCCATCATATTACATTATGCGGCATAAAATTGCATTTTAGGTAAAACCTCAATACACCAGACACCTCTCTAAAACCGGACATTTCCTCTGGTCCCAAGGGTGTCCAGTTTTGAGGAGGTTCCACTATAATCCCTCCCACCAACACAGCTCCAGATTGTTTTTTAGAAACCCATTGCTTTATTCTTTAGCTCTATGTAATCATGTTTACTAAATAGCGATAGTATAATTATGGTAAAAATTGATCAAACCTTTGAAAATACCAGTCGACATTTCATGTAATGGAGAGAATTTGGAATAAGACACACACCAAACTGCTAGGCATCCATGTTAACGAACACTTAACTTGCAATATTCATATTAATGAACTAGTAATGTCATGCTATGGAGCCCTGGCCATGCTAAAAAAGTTATATAACCTAGCACCGTTCCTTTTGAAGAGGCAGTTAGTAGAGAGTTTGTTCCTATCTAAGTTAGATTATGGTAGTACAATGTTCTTTCCATTGCCATTGTGTCAGCAAAAGCACTTACAAAGAGTCCAAAATGTATGCGTGGGTTATGTATTAGGTTGCTATGCGAAAGAAGCAGACTGCCTACAGCTGGGCTGGCTACCGGTGATAGAGCGTAGAAGTTCTCAGTTACTGCAGTGCGTATTCAAAGCACTATACTTTGACTATTGACCACAGTACTTAAAACTCGAACAATACGTACCAGCAAGAAATCTACGCTCGTCCTGTGAAGTCAGATTAAAGGTGCCCATTGAAACTGGTACTTTTCAAGACAGCTCAGCAGCCATTTTCAATGCATTACCAAGTTATTTTAATTTAATTTTAACGTAATTTACATAGCGCCAACTCCACTAATTGACCAAAGCGCTTAAATCTGCGAAACTGTACAGACTTTTGATCCTTTAAGAGTGATTTGACATATCTTTTTAATGATGCTGGAAAGAGATTAGAAACATGAATCTCAGGCCTTTTAGCTTGTTTATATTTTAAT